GCAGGACAGTGCCCCCTGGCGACCCAGGTTCAGGTAAGTGCAGGGCCTGGGAGGGTGGGGGTGGCCTCTGCATTCCTGAGGGTCCCAGATGCCTGGCTGATGCCCGGCTTCCCTGCTCCTGCCGCCCGCCGAGACTGGGCTGTGGCGGGGCCTTCTCCCTCCCGGGCAGTGCAGCTTGCCCTGGGTGCCAGCCTCCTCGTCTGCGCGGCTGCCCCGCCCCGGGCTGGGTGGGAGCTTTTGCTCACCTTCCTCCACCGGTTTCTCTCCTGAGCCTTTAATGTCTTGTGGGCTGGCTGTGTGCTTCGGGGCACGTTCCTCTTTTTAATTTTTCTTCCTTTTCTCCTTGCACCCCCACCCTTCCCTCCTCGTGTCCCTGTGCTCTCCTTCCGTCCCCTCCGTCCTGCCCCCTCTCTTCTCCTCCCCACCTCGCTCCTCCAGCGGACCTGTTGGAGATTTAAAGGGTACAGTGTGGTGTCGCGGCCTCGGTCACTAACAGTGGCGGGTGATTATAAGAAGGCTGGGCAGGCATGAGGGGCAGGCAGAGATGTCCTGGGCTGTGAGGACCTCACTCTAGGTCCCCACTCATGGGTACTAGTTACCCATGCTTGTTAGCAACTTACTCCTCCAACCCCAGCCCCCTCCTATCCTAGAGCCCCTTCTCAAGAGGAAGGAGACACTTGCTGGAGCCTGAGCTTTTCTCCTTTGCCTGGAAGTCTGGACATTGGGCAGCTGCCCTCCCACCGTGCCCCAAGCTCTGTGGCCTTCTCTCTGTGCCAATTTCTGGTTATCTAGGCTGGGGGTGGGGGACTTGGACACCCGTGATGCCACCCCCAGAAGCCTCTCTATATCTGTGGCTTCTGCCTCAGAAGCCCCAAGGGGCTAGCTCTTCCTGCTTTAGAAACTAGGGTCCCTAGTCACTTAGCCCCTAAGTGCTGTTTCTGGGGCCTTTGGCCCTCTCATGGTGGAGAAAAGATTATTTACGTGCGCAGAGACACATGAATGGCTACTTTCTTCTTGGCTCCAGCCGCTCAGTCCTGCCCTTTAGTGTTTCCACCTTCCTGTCTCTGGTGAGGCACATCACAACACCTCTAGTTGCAAGAGGCAGGCTGGGGGAGGGGGCCAGAGGACACGGGGATGGGAGGGCACAGAGGAGCCCCCTGTCTCTTCTAATCACCTGCTGCCCCCTTGCCCCGTGTGTCTCGTGTCTGGTCAGCCCATCTTGCTCTTCTCACCGTGTGTCGGGGGTGGGGCTGGGGGGG